AATAATTTTATCAGCAGCTAAGAATTCATCTTTTATTTGTAGTTTATCAGATTTAGGACTGAAATGAATAAAACTCCAAAGATGATAAAGCTTTGAACTGATTTCATTTGCAGTAGGTCGCTTCTGTGGATCTACATCTATACATCTTTTAGCTAATCTAATATAACATTTTGGAGTTCCATCACCAAATTCTGGTCGTAGTCCTCTGCAAATATTAACTGAAAGTTTAATATCAAATGGATGACCATCAAAAGGTCTCTGCCCAGATGACATTTCTGCCATAACAACACCTAGTTCATAAATATCAGCTGCTAGTATATATCTTTGACCTTGTAAAACTTCAGGTGCAATGTAAGGTAGAACACCACGAATTTCATCATTCTGATTTTGTTCTTCAATGTTTTTAGATAATCCAAAGTCTGCAATATAAGAAAATATAAACCCACCAATATTATTTTGCAAACTATTTCCACTATGAAAATCACTATAATCATATCCTGCTTTATGAATTTTTACTAAATCATTTGATATATCAATAAGTTGCAATAATTTATTATTCTATGTAAGTTTTTGAAAGTTCTCTTTTAAAAGCTGATTAAGGCTTCCACTATCAGCAAGTTGAAAAACCATTAAATAATCACCAGCATTAAAATACTTATTAGTTTTTGTACTTTTCGTTAAACCATATATTCTTAATTTACTACCCATTAATTTACATTGCATATGATTTTTAAACTTATTAAATAAACTAAAATTAATATATTTGTTGCATACATTAATTGCATCAGGAAATTTTTATATAGGATGGATATCGATTACTATTTTTTAATCGATTTTAATTCGGTTTGATGCTAATCAATTTTATTGCAGTTTGCAAAATTATATGAAATTTGAAGATCATTAAAAAAAAAGTAATCACTGATTTCCGATTACTGATTTCCGATTTCTTTTTACTTTTAGACTTGACAAAATTTGCGCATTTATTATTTGTAAAAATTTGATTGAATATTTTAATTCGCAACTCCTATTTCTGCAAATATATTGCAAAATGATGAATATGCAACTTTCATTTCCATAAAAATAATAAAATTTTTACAAGATAATAACCGCACAAATTTTGTCTAATCTAAAAGTCAAAAAAATGACAGTAATCAGAAATCGTGATTACTTTTTTTTTTTAATGATCAAATTTCACATAATTTTGCAAACCGCAATAAATATAAGTCATATTTAAATTTTCTGGTTTTCTTTTAGCGACGCTCATATAATAAATTTTCTGCTTAATATATATATTTTTTTTTCAATCAAACTAGCCAATTAGTCAATACTAAATGACTATGCAGTTGATTAATCAATTAGTTGATTAATCGATTATTGCGGTTTGCAAAATTATGTGAAATCATAAGTAATCACTAATTTCTGATTACTGATTTCCAATTTCTTAAACATTTTTTTTGACTTTAAGATTAGACAAAATTTGTGTATCTATTATTTTGTAAAAATTTTATAGAAATAAAAGTTGCTTATTCGACATTTCGTAATATATTTGCAAAAATAGGAGTTGCGCATTAAAATATCCAATCGAATTTTTACAAATGATAAATGCGCAAATTTTGTCTAGTCTAAAAGTCAAAAAAAATGTTGAAGAAATCTGAAATCAGTAATCGGAAATTGATTACATTTTTTTTTATTGATCTTCAAATTTCACATAATTTTGCAAACCGCAATAATCGACTAAGTTGGATTTGAAATTCCAATCGATTAGTTGATAACTTTACGATTAATCGATTATCAATTTGTATCACTAGTGCCTGTATAAGCACCAAGCTCATTCAATACAATACCTTTCATCCATACTTTATTTGTACGTTGTAATTCTTGATAAACCACAAAATCTGGTGGCTTCTCATGATACAAAACGGAAGAGGGATGAACAAAAACATCTTCATCCGTCCACATAGTAGAATATGTAATACCTCTAGTAGAAGAATATGTTTTCCCTGTCCCATCTACAACGTCCTTACGTATAGCAACTTGATCAATAAATCCGGCTGCAATTATTTGACGGAGAGCTTCGAGCTAATATGATTTTAATAATTTTTTAATTTCAACAGAAAATATGATCAACGAAAAGCTATTTAAATCATACCTGGATAGCAGAAGGTGGTTTCATTTTTGGATCTACGTACACATCAACTCCATGACAATTAGTTTGAACAATATTCGTTATCTGACCTCTTAATTTATGTATTTCTTGCATAGCCTGGTCAAGTAATCAACTTCATTAGCTATTAATAAAAGTCTAATGACAAGTATGAGTGAAATTACCTTTGACCGTACAAAATTATCTTCACAAAACTTTTCACTACTTCCAGAATACTCGTAAGCACCAACAACGTTTAGGAATTTTAATACATCGCTTGTAGGGTCAAGCCCAGCATGTATCTAATTATAAAGATACATTGATTATTTTTTTAAAAAAAAAAAATTTCTCAACAAATTAACATACTTTTTGAACGTCATAAAATCTCTTCCGCATCAATTTTCGACGTTCCTTTTTAAAGATTATTTCTTTTTGAATTTCATTTAATTCCTTCGTTTGAACATAATCTTCAGATTCATCTTTGTCACAGTCGCTATCTGAATCTGTACCATCTAAATGATACTCCCTTATAAAAGGATCACCAACTGATAAGGCTGATACGATTGCAATGACGTATGGAAGACATTCATGTTGCTGTCCAATTATTAACATTTTGGAGAATCGGGGTGCAAGAGGAAATGTCGCCATTGCACGCCCCAAAGAAGTAATTTGGCTGTTTTCATCTAATGCTCCCATGTATTGTAGCAATTTTTCTGCCTTCTTCAGTTGATCACGATCAGGAGGTGTTGGAAATGGAAAGTTAGATACGGTATCAATATTCATCGCTTTCATCTGCAGTATAACACCTTCTATCGGTGTTCTATGAATTTCAGGAATTGTAAATTGTTGAAATTGATCGTTGAATACAGCCGAGGAATACAACCGATAACAATGACCAGGGCCTGTTCGTCCTGCACGACCTGCACGTTGATCAGCAGATGCTTTTGAGATCCAGTCAATTACAAACGATTGAACACCAGTATTTGCATTATAACGGCGTTCTTTAACTTTCCCACAGTCTACAACATACGTAATACCAGGAATAGTTAAAGAAGTTTCGGCTACATTAGTTGCAACAACACAAAGACGCGTTCCCTCAGGTGGTGGCTCAAACACGCGCATTTGAGCCCGAGTTGAAAGTAATGAATACAGCGGAAGAACATATAAAGGTTCGGCTTATATAAAATGATTATAATAGCAAATTGAATTAATTAATGTGATCTAAGTTCAAGTTTAACTAATAAATGATCATATTGAGATAGTAAACCATATTCATTGTCCAATTCATCATTTTCAAACTCGGTGACGGAATCCTCAGAATCCGTATCAAAATTATCATGGTGATCAATGTAACCTTGATCATTCTCGCCTATAACCAATTCTTCGATTTCAGGATCAACTATGTACCGATAAAATTAGAATTAAATATATTTAAGAAATGAAATATCCACCACTGAAAATACTGAAAATACCATTTTTAGTAGACAATCCTTCTCGAATATGTTCATAAGGTTCGTCAATTTGCGATTCTTCCTTAATTTTTGTACTACTCTGATAGGATTGATTGGATGATATATAGGGAAACTTATTACGAAGTTTCTTACAAAGAATGGATATTTCATTTTGTCCCGTCATAAATACAAGAATTCCTAAATGCAGGATTTAATCATAACCAATCATTACTAAAGTTTAAAATAATATGTAATAGTAATAAAGTTATTAATTAATTAAACCAACCTCCACGTGGAAGCCTTGTGTGAATCTTGCAAATCTTTTTAAATGCCTCTGTAACATAATCAATACGTGGAGTTCGTTTATTAAAATGGATTGAAACCTAGAATGAGAAAGGAATCAATTTGCTTCTTTACTTAAAAAATTTAGATAGTTAATATATCTTACAGGATATTGTCGTGCATTAACATTTATGACTGGAGGTGGGATGTCAAACAATCTCCTATTCTGTGTAAAATCAGAAATACGCAACGTAGCTGACATGATGATAACCTTCAAAGGCTGTAACAGAAATCACAATATGAGTTATGACAGTGCAATTAATGTTAATTAATTAGTTAGTTACTTTAATTTTCGATTTATCATCCTCGCTCAACTCTTTACGCAACCGAAGAACACGACTAATAACACCAATCAAGATATCTGTGTTCAAACTTCTTTCATGTGCTTCGTCAATTATAATCGCTGAATATTTTGACAATAGGAAGTCTCCGGAAAGCTCACGAAGTAAAACACCATCCGTCATAAATTTAATAACAGTTTTTGGCGAAATAGTCGCATCGTAACGAATCTGAATAATTAAATTATAGATTGAATTAACACATACTCGTTCAAAATAAATAAAAAAAAAATAATAATAATAAAAATAAAAACTTTATCAGTGTTATTAATCTAACCTGGTATGACACTTGTTGGTCATCTAGTGATAGCTCTTGCGCTACACGCTTTGACATACTCACGGCTGCAACACGACGAGGTTGTGTAATGCCAATAATTCCCGGATTGTCTTCCATAATGCAAATATTTGTTAGCATAATAATATGAGTGTTACGTATTAGTTTGAAAATAACTATAATATATTACACATACCACTTTCCGGATTTCCGAATCCTGCTTCATAAAGAAATTGAGGTAATTGTGTTGTTTTTCCAGATCCCGTTTCTCCACAAATAACAACCACGGAATTCTGATTAATTGCTTCCATTATTGTTTGTTCTTCTTCACACACTGGTAACTCCATTCTCGCAATCTGAATTTCTTGGCTTCTTTTAACTGGAACATAAAAAGCCTTAAAAATAAATAACCTACAAATAAGAGCATTGTTCATCGGTGAGGTTTTAAGAGAAATAAGGTTTATAAATACCTTTTTCACATTTTCGGGTGCTTGTTTCGTATTATTGTTTGACCCATTATTCTCAATATAATCATCAGCTGTGATATCTATACCATCTTGAATAACAAAGTTGGGTGCAACTTGTTCACTAGAATTAACACATTTCTTTTGAAAACTCATAACATTTGATGATAACTGGGAGTGGTTGCTGGTGTCAATATGTTGTGGACTTTTGAACCCAATTCCCAATTGTTCTACCGCCCATTCTTTAAAAGACTGTTTTCCGCATGATGTTTCTGCTAATGATTGTTTTTCTATAACGGAATTAGGGATGTCATTTTTCGCAATCTCTTTGTCAACATCGTATTGTGAATCAGAACTGTCAAATGAATCATCATCATAATTTTGTTGCAAAGGATTTTGGTTCAAAAGTTCAAACTTAGTATTAAAAAACAAATAAATGCGTTAATTCTATTGGCAAAAATATTAAAATTAAGCTAGAACATAAAATTATTTATTATGTTGTAAAAGGATTACCTTCTTTGATCTCTTTTTTTTTTTTTTCTTAATGGGTATTATAAGATCCCCATTTGGACCTCGCTTAAGAGCACTTCCAACAATGGTATTTTGCACCTGCTTATCAACCTTAGGCTTGGTACGTTCTTTTTGGTGAATTGATAAATTAGATGTATTGGTATTTGTGTTCACGTGATCATTTAATACATCATCTACGCTGTCTTCACTATTCACGAATAAAGGAACATCTGGATCGGACTGAGTCATCCCAAGACGTCTTTCATGAAAGGCTCTGTGAAGCCGCTCTTTCATTGTGTCTTTCTGTTAAATTCACACATATAAGTGCTTATATATATTATCTTCCCCAGTAATAATGAAAATTAAAATATTTATATTATCCTTACTCCTCGTCCCAAATTTCTGCTTGATTTCATTAGTTCTGATGAAAATGATGATTTCGAAAGCTTTTCAAATAGAACAACACGTTCTTCTTTTTTAATTTTTTTTTGCTAATATGAATAGTTAGATATATGACTGAAACATACACAGAACATTCGAGATATACAGTATTGCACCAACCACATATTTTTCGAATCTTTTCTTTTTTTTACTCGACATTTTCTTAGTTGACGTAGTTTCCATATTGTAAGTTTCGAATTTCAAAAATATCGATAATCAAAATTATCGACAATTTATATCGATTTACCAAGATTGGCCAATCAGAGTGCATGATTTGGTGTAACCAATATAACGTGATCACTTCCCGACGAAAATCTTCCCCTAGAGCAGGGACCCTGAAAAATTGCGATGCCCATTACACAAATATTGTTTTGGGTAAAGGCAAAAAATGTTTTTTATTGCGAAATAA